ATATAACAGCTAGAGAATGCATAGTGAACCCTATGTACCTATACCCAGCTTCAACAATAATCAACTTACCGACACTCTGGCTCCACCTGTCTTTACCCACAGCCCTGCCCCACTCCTTCACCCCCTTATTATTTCAAGGCAAATTCCCATCATCACATCATTTCATTCCTAAATAATTCAGGATGTGTCTTGAAATCGGTGGTTTTTTTGGCTGGGCATGAAGACTCACGCCTGTAATCCAGTCACTTTGGGAGGCTAAGGTGGGCAGATCACTTGAGGTCAGGGGTTCAGGACCAGCCTTGCCAATGTGGCGAAATCCTGTCTCTACTAAAAATATAAAAATTAGCTGGGCATGGTGGCATGAGCCTGTAGTCCTAGCTACTCAGGAGGCTGAGGTAGGAGAATTGCTTGAATCCAGGAGGCGGAGGTTGCAGTGAGCCAAGTGCATCACTGCACTCCAGCTTTGGCAACAGAGTGAGACTCCATCTCAAAACAAACAAATGAAAAGCCCAAAACAACAACAACAAATTAGCAGGGCACAGTAGTGTGCGGGTCTGTAGTCCCAGCCACTTGGAAGGCTGAGGCTGGAAGATCACTTGAGCCAGGTAAGTCCAGGCTACAGTGAGCTATGATGGCCACTGCACTCCAGCCTGGGCAACAGAGCAACACCCTGTCTCCTAGAAAAGAAAACAAATCCTCCAGGAACTTCCGATGCCTGCTAAAAATAAGGACTCTGAAAACATAAAGGCCAGTAAAACATACAGGCCAGTAAGCATTAATAGCACACCTAATACTATCAATAATTATGAGAAGATGGTTCAAGCTGAGAGTGAAACAGCCAATCTGCCCAAGGCAGGGACCTTCTGGCAAATGGGCAGGTCCTGGGCCCATAGTTGTAATTGGAGGAGGAGGAGGAGGAAGAACAGCCAGGTGGGGCGGCTCACACCTGTAATCGGAGGAGGAGGAGGAGGAAAAGAGGAGGAGAAGGAGGAAGAATAGCCAGGCACGGTGGCTCAGGCCTGTAATCCGAGGAGGGGGAGGAACAGCCAGGAGAGGTGGTTCCTGACTGTGATTCCAGCAATGGAAGACGAGGAGGAGGATGATTGCCGGAGGAGAAGAAGGAGGAGGAAGAGGAGGATTGCTCAAAACCCAGGAGTCTGAGACCAGCCTGGGCAACACAGTGAGACCCCGTTTCTAAAAAACAAAAATTAAAAATTAGCCAGGAATGGTGACACAAGCCAATCATCCCAGCTACTCAGAAGGCTGAGGCAGGAGGGTCACTTGAGCCCAGGAGGTCGAGGCTGCAGTGAGCTATGGTCAAGCCACTGCACTTGAGCCTGGGCAATGGAGTAAGACTCCATCCCCCAAAAATAATAAAGTTTAAAATACTATAAGACTTACCAAGATGTGACACAAAGACACCAAGTGAGCACATGCTGTTGGAAAAACGGCACCAATACACTAGCTCAACACAGGGTTGCCACAGTCTTCTAATATGTTAAGAAATGGGCAGCCATGGTG